CTGTAGTGGCGACTCGTGACCATGGAGATATAAACAGCTTTTTATAAGGTAAAAATAATAAAACAAGGTCTTTGTCTGCAATGATTAGACATGTTTTTTTATTATTGTCATTAGTGATTATCTCAACTTCGGCTAAAAGAATCGACAAAGTCCTACACACTGTACCTTTAAAATCTGTGCATTAAAACAGAAAATTAGGGATGCACCGATATGAAAATCTCAGCCGATATTAATATTAATATTGCTGTTATGTTCTGATAACTGATATTTACTGATATTTCACAAACACACAAATTATTTATATACATATGTGCACAAACATACTTGTGTCTTTTTTCGATACAGTAAAAATATGACCAGACCTCTGACATGGCTCTGTACTTCAGTCATTCCTGACTGCACTGCGTCACTAACACCATCGTGATCAACCAGATAGAACTTTACCAACCATTTCCCCTCCCAAAACAAAAACAGCTAAAAAGTGGGAAATCAATATTTACCAATATCGACGTTAAGGCCGATATATTGCGTATCCCTATTGAATATCTATAAATAAAACATTTATTTTGTATTATTCCACAGGTAAAATATTCATGATTAATCAATATGTGATTTTATGATAATATTTAGCAAAAGTAAAAATAGTATTTACGTTCTTGTTTTTGAATAAAGCAAATAAATAATTTGATACGTTTTAAATTTCTGTTTCAGTTTGGTGAAATCATTTTATACTTTCTCAATGTTATACTGTCAGAACCTCATACCAGTCTGGTCTGGACAAAGACTTTTGCACTTTTCTACATACTTGATGCTCTATGACTGATGTGAAAGTAATGAGGTAATATCTCTGGAGTTGGTCACATGCAGCACTTTCTATGTTTGTGATGTTGTGTTAAACTGAAGGCAGTGGAGAAACAGAACATTTTCCTAAATGTGTTGGATCTTTGCAGACATGGTCCTACCTGAGCTGTGTGAGGAGCTTCTCCTCGGTGAACACATACTGGACCCGGTCCTCCTCCACCTCAGCTCTCTGGCTGTAAGCTGCCACCTCAGCCTGAGCCAGTCTTTCAGCCATCAGCATCAGCAGCTCCTGACCTGCCATCCGCAGCATGGAACTCACACTATCCAGGTTGGACAGCTGGAACACAGGAGACACTTTAGGCGTTTACGCACCGCAGGGCCGGCCCCGGCCCCCAGATGGCCTAGGTCCGGCCCTGCCCAGCCCTGGATGTTTTGCACTGTCATCAGAGCCGCCTCGAAGTGGGTGGGAACTGTTTACCGGAAAAGCGCGCATAACGGTCCTTAAACGTCGAGTGAGACGACGAATGGTGGTGCGCAGAAGAGGAGAGTTTCTGAAGGCTGTACTTGGCCATACAACAACAACAGAAAGCGGCTATAGCAAGACGCAGACGGCATCGACAAGTACGCTAGCAATATTAACTTGTTATATGCTACCGTTATGAAAGCAGTTGCTTTTTCATAGATCTATATGTTTTTTAATGACTTGCCAGACTCGTTTTGACTCGTCAGAGCAAAACAAATAAGTCGTCAAACCGGGCTGGTCCGATTGGAACCTTGCCTGGCCAGGTTCCAGAACTCAGGCTGGATCCGGCCCTACTGTGCGCACAACCGCCGAACCCGGGTTAGAAGTCGGGCCGGGCCGGGCAGGGTCGGGTTGGGGCCGGCCCTGCAGTGCGTAAACGCCTTTTGTTCAGCAGGACCGATGGGTGGATCAGGACCCCGAGTCCATCCAAAACCAGAAACCTGTTGCTGCTGAACTGGAGCTGAGCTTCAGCAGCAGCAGGCTTTATCAACCAATTATATAGGTTGGAAGGCATTTACCAATCATTTGTATGCCTGATAATATGCATTTAGACGCAGTGGGTTTGGCTCCTCCCACTGAACGCAGAGCTCAAGTGGTCGGCCAGCACCTTCCAACCTAGAGGAGGGACAGTCTGCAGAAAGTGTGGGACTGGTAACTGCTAATAACGGCCATTTAATGGACTGATAGCATTCCCTTCGGGTGGTTCCTGAATGTAAAAGCTTGTCCAGCCCGTGTTGAGCTGTCAATCATAATCCAAACTGCTTGTCATTCGAGGCCCCGCCCCCACACCAAAACAGGGCCAAAAGTTTGAAACTGATAAAACATTAATTTGAAACTGAAAAAAAGAAGATGCTTGAAACTTTTCCAGTTTTTCAGTTTCAAATCTTTTTTTATCAGTTTTTTTTTAACAAAACTTGTGGCTCCAATTTAGCTCCATAGACTTGATAATTTGTAGTTATCAGGGACAAAGTGGAGAACTTTACCTGTAAACACTTGAGCTGACTGAGCTGCAGTCGCAGTTCGCAAATTTTTCTTTTTGCAGAAACCAAACTTTGCCTCAAGCCTCGGTCAGAAGGAGGGTCCTGAAGGGCTGGTGGAGGGGGGCTGAAGACATCCATCAGAGCGTTGGGGTTCTGCACGTCAGAAGTTCTCTCTGAAAGTCAAACAACAGGATTTAGATTAAAGTGTTCACAAAACAAAACAAAATCATGCTGCTGGTGTAGGAAAACAGAAAATCTTACCAAGCTGGTTGTTCAGATGTTTGTTTCCAGAACTCTGACTGGAAAAAAAATCACTTATTTTAAAATGTTATAAAGTTTTCTTTTATTTAATAGATGATATTAATGTACTGATAAGAGTTGGATCCAGCTTAAACCATATAACTCCCAAATCGTACTTTTACAACTTTGGTGACTTTTCTAAGAAAACATTATTTGTCGCACATTTGTTTATTCTGATTCAGTCTGTAACAAACTCTGGTTTTATTTTGTTTACATTTAACAACCGTAGCAAAGTTTACAAATGACCCTGCAGAGTTCAGGAACCTGTTGTGCTGTTTGTTGCTGCTACAACCGGACTAAACTGAATCAGTGGCTACAACAGCAGCGATTTGAACATGAACCCACAACAAAAAAAAAGTTCCTGTGAAAATCATTATAGTTTCCATCACCTACCCACAGATGAGGAATCAAGCAGAATGTGGCTGAAAATTCRGAACCCGAAGCGACCACTAAAACTCTGCTTGTTTACTTATTTTGTTGTTTACRAATGCCCAGTGGAGGAAAACCTGCATCCAGCTTTGTGGCTCGGACAACACCGGCAAACCACCGGAGAAAAGATGCCAGATCCTCACAAGGAGGAAAATAGTTCAACGAGAATATCAGGTATGACTTCAGAGAGTACAGCATTATTTGTTCATATTTGGTATTAAAGGGGCAATATCATGTAAAATAAACTTTTTTGAGTTTTATATCATGTTATAATGTTATACTCTCATAAAAAACGTGCCCAAAGCCTTGCTTTGACTCATTCATGCATGTTTGAGAAATCCTGCAGCATTTTTAGGAAGCCATGCTGAGGAGCAAAACCACGAATCCCGCGAGGGGACACGGGAGATTTTTTTTCTTTTGCGTTCCCACGCAATAGTATTGTGTTACCTCGCAATACCTTTTGTGTTCCCTCGCAAAAGTAGTTTATCACTGTTGTACCTGCCCGTTTATTAACAAACTCACATGTTCACCATTAGCGCGTTAGCCTACGGCTTTAATTCAGCTTCATAATAAATATATCACACAGCCATGTTGCGTGAGAACGCAAAACAATATTGTGAGGGAACACAAAAGTATTGCGAGGGAATGCAAAACAATATTACGTGGGAACGCAAAAGTATTACAAAGGAACGCAAAACAATATTACGTGGGAACGCAAAAGTATTGCGAAGGAATGCAAACATATTGCGAGGGAAGCAAAGGTATTGCGTGGGAATGCAAAAGTATTGCGTGGGAATGCAAAAGGAAAAAAAGATCCCCCCGTGTCCCCTTGCGGGCTCCGTACAAAACGACAGGTGGGGACCAGAAACGCCCCTGGGACGTGTCTTTAAGCCGAACTTCCTCATGGCGGAGGGCACCCCCTCCCCCCACCCCACACACCCCGCCCATGACTCCTGCAGGCTCTCGGGTCAAAGTGAAAGTGAAACCTAGCTGTCTGCTGCTCTCAACATTAGTTCTCACTCAGTGAAGCTCTTTTCAGATTAAAAATACCTTTGAGGAAATGTATTTTCAGAAGCCAAGTATACTGCATCATAGCTCACTCGCAACCCCCCCAGCGCACGAATGAGCACCCCGCGTGAGAAACCCCCCCACAAACGGGATGGAACAGAAGCAGAAGGAGGTTCTTAAAGAGACAGAGGCCAATTTCAAGGTGTTTAGAAGAGGAAGTGATGAGAAGATAAGTTTATTTTCTATTTAAACATAAAAACAGCATTTTAATAACAGCTAAAGGTAACATAGATACTTTACTATGGTATTGTATTTAAAAGTATGCCTGAGAAACACATAATATTGGCCCTTTAAGATTTTATCTGCAATTAAAATGCAATGAGTGTTTATGGCAGGGCAGGCCAGCATAAAACTAAAATATTGTATTTTCATGACAGATGTGTTTAAGACTAAGGCAGTTGTTTTTTTTAAATCTTACTCTAAACTGTGGATTTTATGATAGTGTAACAGGTTTTTTTATTTTTAGATGGCTTGGGTCAGTGCTAACAAACGACAAACATTCAGTCAGAGTGGCTTCAACTGGCTGAGCTCTGTCTGCTTTATCAAGGCAAATAAGATTGTGTCCCATTTCTTTTAACTAAACTTGACCTGCATTATTATTATTATTATTATTATTATTATTATTATTATTATTATTATTATTGTGTAGATACTGAGCTTTTCGGGTTGTTCATCGTTTCACCATCTGAAGCAACCGAGCTGATGAAATACTGTAGCTAAATATGCTACTTTGGCCACTTATTCATATCATCCTCTCATCCCTCGACTGCAGTAGGCTGCGGTACGATTACATTATCTTCTTTGAGCTCTGTCAGGAGGTGTTTCTACATTTTTTAATTAGCGCTGCTCAGAGAAAATTTGTTAGCTTGTACTGTCACACAGAAACAAATGCCAGTTCTGGTTTGCACCGGAAATCGCTCCCACAGTTCATGCAAACCATCACGGAGGCTGGGAATAAGGTGGATAGAACATGTTTCACTTCCACTGACAGTCAATTCATGATCCTAAAAACTATATTTCAGCTCAAAATTGCTGCATAAGCAGAAAGTCTTGCTTCACGTTAACACCCTCTGGACATTTAGGGCTCTAGCTCCTGATGTTTCTGATTAATTCTGCATGTTACGACAGTCAGTGTTGCTCTAGGTTGTTCTTCCTGTATTTGGTACAAGTAGCATTTGCTTCTTCTCACCTGCACTGTGGAGACTCTGAGTCTGGCACAGGTACTTCACACGCCATGACTGAGCCATGATAACATGCCCAAACATAGACAGCCTGATGTGCTGCAGTACACATGGGAAGTGATGCCAAAGAGTAGATGGAAACCAAAGAAGGTGGTGCAGGTAAAACTTGGTGAAAGTCTAAACAACAGCCCAATATATACTGTATATAATCTTAATTTAGACGTTTATTTTAAATGTCTATAAGTGCAGGTTAATGAATTTTTAACCAGCTGCTGCAGATGTTACTGACCTGACAGAATCCTTAGCTCCTGAAACATCTGACCCCATAGACAGAGCATGGTGCACCAGTCCAGCTAGGCTGGCTATCTGCTCCTCCATGGCATTCATTCTCTCACTGCAAAACAGAAACATCACCAAACATTAAACAACATCGAAAACTACACTTGTACTGAATGGAAAGTTTCATTAAACAGACAATAATACCATCAGTGAATTTATGCTGGAGAGAGGTGAAATGAAAAACTCTTCTAAAGTGATAAATTGGACTTTATTTTAAAGATATTAAAACATCCATAAAATGATTGGCTCATTATGTCAACGCTTCACTTCTCACATAGTGATTCAGGGGACACTTCACCCCTCCTTGCCTTGGTGGTCAGTGCGCCCCAGGCACATTCCACTGTCTTCCAACAGTATCATCGAATTCTAGGGTCCTCGAGGGGTCATAGGGGTTTGCCTATTCACTCTATATTGGTTTTGTGGACTTGGAGAAGGAACTGGACTGTGTTCCTTGAGGTACACTGTGGTGGGTGCTTCGTGTGTCTGGGATTGTGGGTCCGTTGTTATGGGCCATTCAATCCCTATACAAGCAGACCCCTTCAGGGTGGCAGTTGGACTCTACCAGGGCTGTCCGTTGTCACAGATTCTGTTCATAACTTACATGGACAGAGTTTCTCAGTGCAGCCAGGAGTGGAGGGAGTCCGGTTCAGTGGTCTCAGGATTCCATCTCTGCTACTTGCAAATGATGTGGTTCTGTTCGTGTCATCGTGGCTTGATCTGCAGCTCTCACTAGAGCGGTTCACAGCTGGGATGAGGATCAGCACCTCTAAATATGAGTTCATGGTCCTCAGTGGGAAAAGTGTGGATCTCAGGGTTGGTGGTGAGGTTCTGCCTCAAGTGGAGGAGTTCAAGTATCTTGGGCAGTGTTTCCCAAGGTTGGGGTCGGGACCCAAAGTGGGGTCCTGAAACATCAAGATGGGGTCCTGAAAAGATTTTCTGAATTAATTATATTTTTGCCTTAGCAGTTAAAAAAAAGAATGAGGTTAGTATATTTAAAATGGATAAATGTAGTATAAAAATATTGTTACTATGCCCATGTTTAGTTGACC